ATATCGTGGAAGCGAAGGAAACTGATCTGGAATTAATTCACTGCTACTGCACTGATGTACTATTGAAAAGCAAAAAAAATACTGAAAAGAGAAGCATACCAAAGATGTGTGGCGAAGTAAGAAAGCAAGCAGGAGAAACTGGGAAAATACTCGCACATTAGGTGATTTTCCGTTTTATGTTGAGGACAATGTAACCAAAACTGTTCACGTGTAAACAAAAAATAAGAAAAAAAAATCGAACCAACAAGCATAAAAATTGGCTAAGTTTACAGAATCTAACCGATCCGAGATGTGAACAACTGAAAAAAAAAGACAAAATTTCAGCCCAACGGATGCAAAATATAGCCAAATGAGGCAGTTTTGGCCAGAGAACGTTTAAATCAAGTAATGCAGGTGAGGATTTAAGGCAAGTGGAGGAAAATCTAGCCAGTATAGAGCAAAACTGGGCACAAAACCGTGAAATTTAACGGTGAAGGTGTGAAAATCAGGAAAGAAGTGTTGAACCGTGCGCAAAGCAGATTCAGGAACACTAGAAAATAATCTTTAGGCAAAGAAGTGCAAAAACAAGAAATGCATCTGTCATTTTAGGTAGCGAGGAGGGACAGTTCAGCCAGAAAAACCAAAACTGAGGGGTTAGTTCTTCAGCCGACGATCAACTTAACACTGACTGAAAAGATAATTTAAAGGAAGTTTTCATACATGGAACCAATGCGGTAAGGGCCATATGCGCTGAAGAACAGAAACTTGGCTAAGTGAAAAACTGTTAAAAACAAGAAAGTATATGAATTCTTATGAAGGCAGAAGGGCGGGGTCGTGCAAGGGGAGGGAGGAGGAGGGGAGGAGAGAGGAAGGGAGAAGAGAGGAGAGGACGAGGAGGTGAGTAAAGTGGGCAGTGAGAGAGAATTTTAAATGAAACGACAGCTTAAAACGCTGATCACTTACATCTGTTTCGAGCGAATCAATTGGAACGAATCGCTCCTCGTCTGGATACCAAAGATGCATGAGCTTCTTGTAAGTAAAATATCGTAGGCTACTCACATCAGTCATTCGAAATCCAGGAACTGGAAGTGCTGGCTGAAGGCCAGCACCGGCAATCATGCAACGCACCGGGCGAAAGGCCAAATTCATGTGTTCATCCCTGAAAGGTCCCAACATCAAAGTTGAAAGCGCCAACAACAAGCTCCTCTTATTCGGATGAAAGCTTTTATGGGCCGAAAAAGCGCTTCAAAGCATTCTAACTTCCTCATAAAAAAGTTAAAAAGATAGTGGAACAGCAGGAGAAAAGTTCATCAATGTAAATCGCTGGGGCGCCAAATTATGAATTTCTGCAGTCCCTGACAGAGCTGTAACTTAGCCAGCAACACAGCGCTTTCTAAGAATCCAGCAACACACAGTGCACGTTGATGATTCTTCGTCAGGGAGATGCAGTTTGGTCAGCACTCAGCCGGCGGTTAAAAAGTATTTGGTTACTGCTCCATCTTTCTACATACTGTTTTTGAGGAATAACTGCAGAAGCT